CAGTAATCCGATACGCAGATACATCCTAGGAAAACTCAATAATATCTAAAGTAGTCCATATGTATATATATAGTACACACTATAGGACGCTCACTAATCCAGTAGGTCTATCTCAGCCTGAGTAGAGATACCATGTAAATCGCACAATAATGTGGTCATGTATACCTAGACCTACCAGGGAATAACACCTATGTCCAGTTATCCATCTTAGGCTATATACGCGCCTTAACCATGGTCCTGAGACTCAAGCTCATACCATGGTACCATATAATAAATATATAAAGTCCGTTCTCCTCCTAATACAAAATACCATCCATCTGTGTAGTGGTCTAGTATATGTATAATCATCCGTCCGGAAACCATATTAAGTCATTCAACTATTTTGTTGACCTGACACAAGTAGGTAATGGACTTAATCTATATGGTTAATCCGTACCTTAATCCAAATTAGGTAGGACTTAGGGTTTGATCCAATCCATACCTAGTATGTCACTGTCCCATACCGGTACATACAATCCTCCAGTTTACACGGTTGACCAAACAATGATAAATGCATATCAATTATACTCCAGAATAAGCACACATACAAATCTAATAAGTGTATGATCAAATTATATATCCAGTATATAATCTAGAAGTCACATTATAGTTTTTTTAAAATGTTAGAGTACAATACAGCATCTGACTCCTCTAAAACAGTACCATAACTTGATGCAATAAATAGTATAGTTAAACATCAATTAATTTCCATTTAAGCATACCTATTTTTTTTCCAGAACATATAATATATGCTTATACAACAGCTGAAACATGAACAACAGTTTAAAACTATGCTAGAAACCAAAGTGCTTTATAGAAACAGTAAGCAATGTCAAGGTATAATTCAACCTCCCACATACAGTGTATTATTGTAGGTTATCCCATGCTTCAATATTAATACTAACATGCTTCCCAATTCTTTTAATATCTCTGGAACAGTTTTATAAACAATCCACAGCCCCTAGAACAACTCAGAAACCCTCCTATAGGCCAACCGGAAGTCAGAAACGTGAAAAATCAAAAAAATAAAAAAGGAGCCGCCTCCACCAAAAGTGGAGCCGCCTCTCCCTTTGTTGGAGCCGGCTCCACCCTTTATTGGAGCCGGCTTTACCCTTGTGGAGCCGGCTCCACCCCCTTGTGGAGCCGTCTCTCCTCCGTTGAAAGCCGTATCCCCTATTCTGTGCATCTTCTTCGTCTCTGACGAAGTGCAGAAACTCTGTACAGTTTTTATAGCTTATTTAGGAGTTCAATTGCAATCTTAGAATCCATTAAAATCATGCATTCAGTCCCAAATACATAAGGTTAAGCAAAATTAAAACTCACACAAACAGTTTATTTTTAAACAGAGCAACGTCTTACACACAACAGAATTATGCAATGATTTAACAGTCGATTCAACATGCTTCGAAGATTAATATTACTTTAACTTAATCTATTTTAGTGCTAAATTAATTCCTAGAGTCCACTAGGCATGCACAGAACACGAATTAAAGGGAAAGAATAAAATAGTGAGTTGCCTTTGAGTTTCAGATTTGAAACTCTAAACTGTCGTCCTGAATTTTCCGACGAGGTTTCCGACTGTTGTTCCACCTTCGTCACTTTAGGTTTAGTCTCAGTTGAAACCCACAACCCTAGCTTCATTCCTCTCTGTAACTCTCTCAAGTTCTCCTCTCTGCTTCTTCCAAAACCACAACTGTTACTCTCTGTATGTTCTCTACGTGTATGGGTTTTGTTTTTAAAACCCTAGGTAGAACTCGTACATGTATTTATAGGTGTTTGTAATACACAACCCTAATTCTAGTTGCAATACAAGAAGGAAACCTACATATACCCAGTCGGCTACCATGAAACCTAAAACCCTAATCCAAACTCACGCATTTAGCTAATTAAATCAATTACAAATAACTCAATTAAAATAACCATAATTAAATAAAACAAGTATAAAATTAAATATCAAATAACAAATAACAATTACACATTTAATCAAATATCAATTAAATTAATTGAAAACAAAATAACCCTATTTAATTTAAAACAATTTACAATTAAGCAAATAATTAAAAATTAAACAAAATACGTGCAATTTAAGCAACACAACAAATAAGGAAACAATTAATCAAATAAAAAGACAATTAAATCAAAAATAAAATATCAGAAATATCCTTTTAAATATCCTTTTAAAATTAGGGGTATTACATTCTTCCCCCCTAACAAAAGGAATTTCGTCTTCGGAATTCGCACTTACCTTCTTCCAATATTTCAGGAAATTGCGAGCGAATGACATCCTTCCGTTCCCAAGTGGACTCAGCCTCATTGTGATGACTCTACTGAACACGTACTAAAGGAATAACCTTGTTACGAAGAATCTGATCTCATCGGTCTACAACACGACATGGTGGCTCTAAATAAGTTACATCCGGCTGTAACTCAATCTCCCCAACATCGATATGCTGATACCGATCCTCATCTCGCAGAAATTTCTGCAACATGGAAACATGGAACACGTTGTGCACGCGATCCAAATGATCCGGAAGTGCCAATCGATAAGCCACAGCTCCAACTCGATCCGTAATCATGAAAGGACCGATAAACCGTGGAGACAACTTCCCTTTCTTCCCAAAATGCATAACACCCTTCATAGGCGAGACTTTGAGAAGAACCTGATCCCCAACCTTAAACTCCAAAGCACGAGTGTGACGATCAGCATAACTCTTTTGCCTACTCTGGGCAGTACGCATGCGATCTCGAATAAGAGCTATCTTCTCAGAAGTATCCTTGATAAACTCAGGACCCAAGAATCTGCTCTCACCAACCTCCATCCAACAAACAGGCGATCGACACGGTCGGCCATATAACGCCTCAAATGGTGCCATCCCAATAGTCTTCTGGAAACTATTGTTATAAGCAAACTCTACAAGGGGTAAGTAATTCTCCCAGTAGCCTTTGAAATCAAGAACACACGATCGGAGCATATCCTCCATAATCTGATTCACCTTCTCAGTCTGTCCATCAGTCTGAGGATGATAAGCAGTACTAAGGTGCAACTCTATACCCAAAGCCTGCTGAAAACTCTTCCAAAATCCCGACACAAAGCTTGAATCCCTGTCTGATATAATAGACAATAGAATGCCATGCAACTTTACAATCTCTGAAATGTAAAGTCTCGCCAACTGCTCCGAAGTGTAGTCAGTGCAAATAGGCAAGAAATAAGCTGACTTGGTCAACCTATCCACAATGATCCAAATGGAATTATGACCCTTGAAAGAAGTGGGCAATCCCTCCACAAAATCCATAGATATACTCTCCTATTTCCACTCTGGTATCGGTAGTGGCTGTAGAGCTCCTGGCAGCCTCTGATGATCAATCTTGACCATCTGACAAGTACTACATTGCGAGACAAAAAGAGCAATGTCCCTCTTCATACCTGCCCACCAAAACTGCTGCTTCATATCTTAATACATCTTATCGCCTCCTAGATGAACAGAGAACTCAGAGTGGTGAGTCTCAGTCATCACATCCTTCCTTAAATCCTCAGCAAAAGGTACCACTAACCGTTCCTTGTACCGCAAACCTCCATCAGCCCCAACATAGTAGAATGGAACCTCTCCGGAAGCTATCTCTGCGACCTTGTCGACACACTGTTGATCGGTGAGTTGTGCTTGTAAAACCTTGCGAATGATAGAAGGTGTAACCACCATGCAAGCCATAAAAGCATCTGACAACTCATCTACATTCTTCAAAGCATTCCACTCAGTAGTGAATAGAGTAGAGAGACTACCGACAGATCGGCGACTGAGTGCATCCGCCACCACATTCGCTTTCCCTGGATGATATTGTATGGAAAAGTGATAGTCTTTCACAAACTCCAACCATCTGCGCTGTCTCATATTCAGCTCCCGCTGAGTGAACAAGTACTGCAGACTTTTGTGATCACTAAATAACCTGAAGGACTCACCCAACAGATAATGCCTCCAAATGCGTAAGGCAAAGACCACAGCTACTAATTCCAAATCATGTGTTGGATAATTAAGCTCATGAGGCTTAAGCTTCCGAGATCCATAAGAAATCGGTCTCTCCTCCTGCATCAAAGCACATCTAAGATCCTACAACGAAGCATCTGTGTAGACAAGATACTCTATCCCGCTCTGTGGAGTAGACAAAACCGGTGCAGAAGTCAACTTAATCTTCAGCTCATCAAAAGCTTTCTGACAGTGCCCATCCTATACGAACTGTACACCCTTCCTGGTCAGATGAGTGAGTGGTCCTGCTATCTTGGAGAACCCCTGGATGAATCTCCTGTAATATCCTGCCAGACTGAGGAAACTCCGAATCTCAGTAGGTGATGTAGGCTGTCCCCACTCAACCATAGCCGAAACCTTGGCCGGATCCACCGCTATTCCATTTTCTGACACCACGTGACCTAAAAACTTCACCTCCCGTTGCCAAAATTCACACTTCTCGAACTTGGCATATAACTGGTGCTCACGAAGCGTCTACAAGACTATGCGAAGATGTCTAGCATAGTCGTCCTCAGACCTAGAATAGATCAAGATATCATCAATAAAGACAATGACAAACTGATCCAAATAAGCCCGAAAGACTCTGTTCATTAAATCTATGAACACTGCAGGTGCATTAGTCATCCTAAACGGCATGACACAAAACTCATAAGAGCTATATCTCGTGAGAAATGCTGTCTTAGGAATATCCAGCTCCCTAACCCTTAGTTGATGATACCCAGAACACAGATCAATCTTGAAGAAGTATGTGGCTCCCCGTAACTGATCAAACAAATCATTAATCCTGGGTAGAGGGTACTTGTTACGAATAGTAACCTTGTTCAACTCTCTGTAATCTATACACAGGCAAAACGAACCATCCTTTTTCTTTACAAATAGAACCGGTGTTCCCCAAGGTGATGTACTCCTATGAATAAAATCCTGGCTGAGTAATTGCTGAATCTAATCCCTCAGCTCTTTCATATCCACCAGTGCCATCCTATAGGGTGCCCTAGCAATAGGAGCAGTGCCGGGAGCTAAGTCTATCACAAAATCGATCTCGCGACTAGGTTGCAACCCTGAAATCTCCTGAAAAACATCCGAAAAATCCTGTACAATCGATATGCGATTCAATGACACAGTAATCCCCTCCTCCTTTTCCTCCTCCACATGGAACAAATAGGTGCTACCGTCCCCTTTAGAATGTGGCATAGCTACTACATACATATCGTGACCAGGTACGATAAATATAATAGACCTATCAAAACAATTAACTTGGGCATGGTAGTGAGACAACCAATCCATCCCAAGTATCACATCATAAGTGTGCATGTCTAGGACCAATAGGTTGGCTAGAAATCTAAGTCTGCCAATATCTAGTGTCATAGGCCCATCACTCTCATGTATAATAGCTGTATCGCCCAATAGTGTAGAAATACCCTGAGGTCTAGTGCATACCCTCGTCCTCATCCCAGATAAAATAACAAAAGTCCTAGCTACAAATGAGTGTGTAGCACCCGTATCAAATAAAACACGTCCATGCAAACCATGTATAAGAAACTTACCCTCAACAGCCTGAGGTGCTTGCATATCCTGTGGCTTAGGGTTGTACACCCTGCCATAATGTAATTGCTGCGGTGCCTGTCCCTGAGGCTGCGGCGGTGCCGGTAAAGCCGGATAAGTCTGTCCATGAATTCGTGGAACTTGTAAAGCTGGTAAAGGTACTGGCGCCCTCTGTCCCTGCTGCACATGCTGTCCCTGTCTCTATCTCTGTCCCTGTCTTGTTGTAGGACACTGCTTGGAAGTGTGACCATATTTTTCACAAGTATAACAACTACCCTGGAAAGTACCAAATGGCCTCCTCTGTCCGTTAGCCTGTGGTTGACCCTGTCCTGCCTGTGGTCCCCCATTCTGTTGACGCTGAATAGGTGCCACAGCCTTGGAAGCATCCGGACCACCCTTGTGCTTCTTCCAAGGCTGCTGTCCCTGGAACTTGCCCTTATCATTCTGTCGGTGTCCGTTCCCATTCCCTTTCTCAACTGACTGGTTAACAGAGTCTCTGTCACCCCGCTTCTCACCCTTGGCCTATCTGATGTCCACGGTCAACTGATACTGCTGTAGAGCGGCGTCTACCACCTGAGCATAGGTAGTATAAGCTGGACTACCTATAATAGCTCTCTTGATAGACCACATCAACCCCTTGATGAAACTGTTGTGCTTCTTCTCTTCTGTATCCACCTCTTCTGGTGCAAAAAGAGACAAGCGTGTGAACTGCTGCTCATACTCTGCCACTTGATAAGCGCCGAATATTGCATATTCAAGCGCCCTAAATTGCATTAGTTAAGTCCATTATTTGATTTTATTATGTAGATTATCTTCATTTGTGCATTTTTATTTATTTTCAGGTTCATTGGCTTAAAAGAAGCAAGAATGATGTTTTGTTGAAATTTTGAATGCAAAGGCACAATGCTGAAGCTTGGCGGCAGTGGAACCTGACTTTTGTCGCCATTTTTGACCTAGCAAACTCAAGAACTGGACTTCCATCATAACATGAAAGATTTAGAGCTCTGAATTAGATTTCTAAATCTTCAAATGGTTTGTCATTCAGAGCTCGGAGCAGAGAGTTATGGCCTTGTTACCAGAGGTGCGCAGAATTGCCTGGCAGCAATGAAATTCTGCCTTGATCTTCATTTTCGACCAACCATCCTTGAGAATTGGATCTTCACCAAAACATAAAGTTTTTAGAGCTCTGAATTAGCTTTCCAAATCTTCAAACGGTTCATCATTCAGAGTTTAGAACGCAAAGTTATGGCCATTTTACCAAAGTAGGTCCGGGTGAGCAAGGCAAGAATGGAGCATTCTACTCCAATTTCGAGTGCTCGAGCCCTTATTTCGAGTGCTCGAAATTAGGGCAGAATTGCATCCGGAAATGACCCATTTTCAGCCATGTGCATCTTGGGTTCCTCAATTCTAATTTCCCTCTTTAATGGTTGGTTGGAGATGTTGGTTGGTGGGGGTTTTTAGAGGCTTATCTTTAGAAGATAAGAGAGGGAGGCCACACATTTACATTGAGCTTCATTTTGGGAAGATAGAGGAGAGAGAAGAGAGCAAGAAAGGTATGTTCTTGAAGCAAAGGAAGGAGCACGAAAATGGAGTCTTTCTTCAAGCTTCCTCCTTCCTCTAGTGCATCAATGGGTAACTAAACTCTATCTAGGGAGGTGATAAAGCCTCCCCTTGTTGTTCATGTTCTAGATTAGGTTCTATTTTGGGGATTTTAATGTATAGATTTTGGTCTTTTCATAGTTTAGAGCATATTACTTCTTGTAATGAACTCTATTATGTTTAAATGATTGATGTAAGTTATTTAGCTTGACTTGATGATTCTTACATTAATCGTATTGCTTGTATTCTCATGGTGACAATGGGGAGAAAACTATGAAATGTTTTCAAGGCATGTTGATAGAAAAATGGATAGTCCATTGCTTAGGAACTTCCTTTGATGGGTTATGCTAGTTTCCTACTTCATGTGCTTTGTCATTTGCTTTAATTCTTGATGGTCTTCAGCTTAAGATAATATATTTGACTCTACATCCTAGTTTAGGTAGTTCAATGTGTTAGCTTTTGAAGGATCATTCTTATGCCAATTTAATGGATCTCTTAACAAATATATGGTAACTAAGTGTTGTCATATATTTCTTGACCATTGCATATATTGTCCATCCCCAATTTAGACTTAATCTAGCATGTACTTAGGGTGTAGTGTGAATTCATCTCCTTAGTCTTCTCTACCTAGATCTCTCTTTCTAAATTTCTTACAATTTTATTATTTTATGCATTTTAATTTCTTAGTTTAGTGACAAACACACAAACCCTTTATAAACCCCTCATCACTCTAAAATGACTTTAGATACTTAGGTTGCTTTAAGACTAGCGCAGTCCCAGTGGTTCGACTTACCTGTCCAATAGCCCTATTTTACAATGATTCGTGCTATTGCGAAGAGGGTTGATTTATAATTGATTTCGACCGTCGATCACCACTGTCATGTTTCCCTGTTGCAGATTGAGAAATTCAGTCTTCATGGCTGCCCTGACTGCATAAGAAAAATACTTTTCATCAAAGCGTGCACTGAACTCATCATAAGTCAAAGCCATCATCTCCTCTATGGTGGTAACTGACTCCCACCACTGCAGTGCATCCCCCACTAGCTTGAATGTAGCAAGCATCTGCTTCTGAACCTCCGTGCACTGAACCAAGCAAAGATGTCGCTCGATGTCCTGTTTCCACTAGTGAGCTGTTCTCGCATCGGTGGAGCCTGTGAACTCAGGTGGGCTCCCCTTTGTGAAAGAACTCCTAGCCTTCTCCCAAGTATCAATCTGAACAACCAGTGTTGGTAGCGGTGCCGGCTGTACCTGAGGCTAATTCTGAAGTGCAACTGTTACCCCAGCTTCTATGGCCCGAGCAATAAGGTCATTGAGGTGAAGAGGATACTCTGGATCTCCCCCCTGATCCCGAGCCTGTGGAACCTCCTCCTACTCCTCATAGTACTGACCTTTATCCTCCTGACGCTGCCTACGGGCCGCTTCCCTTCATTGCCGATTGTTCCGTCTGGTTCTTGCGTTAGCCATTTTGTCAACATAGAAAGACAGACATCAGCACGATTAAACCAAACCGTAAAGAATACAATGAATCCTAAACTTAAGCTATAAACAATAGAGAACGCTACGCGGAAGTCTTATACGATAGAATCCTAGAGACACTTGAACCTGGAGTGCTCTGATACCAACTGTTATACCCCTCGGATCCGAGACACGGGTTGATCAGGCCCAGGCCCAAACCCGAGGGATATCAAACAATTAATATGTAATCGAACATAGAATATAAGATGAAATAAATAATATCAATAAGCTGGAAGAATACTAATTGAAATCCTCAAAATAATTAATGAAATCTGTTAAATCCAAACTCCAAAACTCCATAAGTTACAACTCGGGAATCCATCTAGTGGACCCCTTACTATTAAAAATCCCAAATGAAACTAAAATATCTGAAATAGAAAACTAAAGGTAAACATAGAAAAGATTCCTACGTAGTCGGAGGAATGAATGTCTGTATCTGCTTTGCACGTCCAAGCTCTAACCTTGGAAATGACGAACACCAGAAAAATAAAAGAGTGAGTCAGGCCCACATGCAAGTCCTATTCTATTACGATCCAAACAGTAATCCGATACGCAGATACATCCTAGGAAGACTCAACAATATCTAAAGTAGTCCATATGTATCTATATAGTACACACTATAGGACGCTCACTAGTCCAGTAGGTCTGTCTCAGCCTAAGTAGAGATACCATGCAAATCGCACAATAATGTGGTCATGTGTACCTAGACCTACCAGGGAACAACACCTATGTCCAGTTATTCATCCTAGGCGATATACGCACCCTAACCATGGTCCTGAGACTCAAGCTCATACCATGGTACCATATAATAAATATATAAAGTCCGTTCTCCCCCTAATACAAAATATAATCCATCTGTGTAGTGGTCTAGTATATGTATAATCATCCTTCCGGAAACCATATTAAGTCATCCAACTATTTTGTTGACCTGACACAAGTAGGTAATGGACTTAATCTATATGGTTAATCCGTACCTTAATCCAAATTAGGTAGGACTTAGGGTTTGATCCAGTCCATACCTAGTATGTCACCGTCCCATACCGGTACATACAATCCTCCAGTTTACACGATTGACCAAACAGTGATAAATGCATATCAATTATACTCCAGAATAAGCACACATACAAATCTAATAAGTGTATGATCAAATTATATATCCAGTATATAATCTAGAAGTCACATTATAGTCCTTTAAAATGTTAGAGTAAAATACAGCATCTAACTCCTCTAAAACAGTACCATAACTTGATGCAATAAATAGTATAGTTAAACATCAATTAATTTCCATTTAAGCATACCTATTTTTTTTTTCTAGAACATATCTTATATGCTTATACAACAGTTGAAACATGAACAACAGTTTAAAACTATGCTAGAAACCAAAGTGCTTTATAGAAACAGTAAGCAATGTCAAGGCATAATTCAACCTCCCACATACAGTGTATTATTGTAGGTTATCCCATGCTTCAATATTAATACTAACATGCTTCCCAATTCTTTTAGTATCTCTGGAACTGTTTTATAAACCATCCACATCCCCTAGAACAACTCAGAAACCCTCCTACAGGCCAACCGGAAATCAGAAACGTGAAAAATCAAAAAAATAAAAGAAGAGCCGCCTCCACCAAAAGTGGAGCCGGCTCTCCCCTTGGTGGAGCCGGCTCCACCCTTTATTGGAGCCGGCTCTACCCTTGTGGAGTTGGCTCCACCCCCTTGTGGAGCCGCCTCTCCTCCGTTGAGAGCCGTATCCCCTATTCTGTGCATCTTCTTCCCCTCTGACGAAGTGCAAAAACTCTGTACAGTTTTTATAGCTTATTTAGGAGTTCAATTGCAGTCCTAAAATCCATTAAAATCATGCATTCAATCCCAAATACATAAGGTTAAGCAAAATTAAAACTCACGCAAACAGTTTATTTTTAAACAGAGCAAAGTCTTACACACAACAGAATTATGCAATGATTTAACAGTCGATTCAACATGTTTCCAAGATTAATATTACTTCAACTTAATCTGTTTTAGTGCTAAATTAATTCCTGGAGTCCACTAGGCATGCACAGAACACGAATTAAAGGGAAAGAATAAAATAGTGACTTGCCTTTGAGTTTCAGATTTGAAACTCTAAACTGCCGTCCTGAATTTTCCAACAAGGTTTCCGACTGTTGTTCCACCTTCGTCACTCTAGGTTTAGTCTCAGTTGAAACCCACAACCCTAGCGTCCTTCCTCTCTGTAACTCTCTCAAGTTCTCCTCTCTGCTTCTCCCAAAACCACAACTGTTGCTCTATGTATGTTCTCTACGTGTATGGGTTTTTTTTCTAAAACCCTAGGTAGAACTCGTACATATATTTATAGGTGTTTGTAATACACAACCCTAATTCTAGTTGCAATACAAGAAGGAAACCTACATATACCCAGTCGGCTACCATGAAACCTAAAACCCTAATCCTAAGTCACGCATTTAACTAATTAAATTAATTACAAATAACTCAATTAAAATAACCATAATTAAATAAAACAAGTATAAAATTAAATATCAAATAACAAATAACAATTACACATTTAATCAAATATCAATTAAATCAATTTAAAACAAAATAACCCTATTTAATTTAAAATAATTTATAATTAAGCAAATAATTAAAAATTAAACAAAATACATGCAATTTAAGCAACACAACAAACAATGAAACAATTAATCAAATAAAAAGACAATTAAATCAAAAATAAAATACCAGAAATATCCTTTTAAATATCCTTTTAAAATTAGGGGTATTACAGTAACCCTTCCTCTGTAACAGTCAATCGTAGCATGAAATGAAGCTAACCAATCCATCCTGAGAATGACATCAAAGTTAGTCATCTCTAGGAGGATAAGGTCAAACATAAAAGTCCGCCCGGCTATCACAATGGAATAATCCCACACAACTCGGCTCAATGGCACTGAAACCCCAACTGGCTTATCAACACACAACGCCTGATCCATGAAACTGACCTCTAACCCCGATGCAAGTGCAAATGATGATAAAATGAAAGAATGAGATGCACCATAATCAAACAAAACACGGGCCCAAAAACCAAACACTGGAAATATACCTCGAAGAACTGACGATCCAGGAGATGCATCAGTCAGTGTAAGTGCAAAGACACGTCCCTGCGGTGCCTGTGCCTTTGAATTACTAATTTGAACACCAGACTGTTGTGCCGACACAGTAGGAGTATCCCACCTAGCTAGTAGTGAACCCTGAGAATAAATGGCAGGTTGTGGTGGTGGCGGTGGTCTGAAACCTGACTGAACTATAGCCGACTGTGATGGCCTCTGCCGTGACCCTCTGCAACTAGTGGTGATTGCTCCCTGACTCGGATAGTCTCGAATCAAGTGGCCCTGCTGGCCACACCCATAATAAACCCTCGGAGCTGAAGAAACTGAAGACGATCTCAAGGGACAATTGGACTTGTAATGTCCAGGCTGCTGGCACTGAAAGCAAACAACTGCACTCCTATCAGATTCAGCTGGTATAGGAGTCGTAGAAGCGGATCGTGCAAACTGCTGCCCCTAAAACTAAAATGAACCACCCCTATTCCTTTTTCCCTGAAGGTCCCTCTACAGATGGTCCTACATTCCTCTTTTGTCTCCACTGTTCCCTTGTTACTTCGTTATCTTTGGCCTCCACCTCTAACATTAATGCTCTTTCCACTGCCTCAGAATAAACCTTGTTGCCATGTGCTATTAACAACGGCCTCATCTTGTAGTCAAGTCCGGAGATAAACTTCCGAACCTTATCAACTTCATTACTCACCATCTCTGGAGCAAAGCGGGAAAGAGACGTGAACTTGTTCTCGTATTCTGTCACTGACATATTGCCTTGGATAAGGCCAATAAACTGATTCTTTAACTCCCACCTATTGGAGGCAGGGAAATACTTCTCATAGAACAGCTCCTTGAATCTATCCCAACTCATCTCTTCAATCTTATATTGATTTGTGATTGATTTCCACCAAAACTTGGCATCCTTTGTGAACTTGTAAGTGGCTAGGGTGATTTTCAAATGATCCTCCGTCACATCCATAGAAGCCAATTGAGTTTCAACTTGCTCCATGTAGTCATCCGCTACCATGGGATCTGCACCACCTTCAAACAATACCGGCATTAAATGAGAAAACCCTTTAATAATATTGAGACGCTTCTGTGCTGGCGTCTCCTCCACTTGCACTACCGGTTGTGGTATCGGCTACAGTATCGGTTGCGGCTGAGTAGCAATGGTGGCCATCAAGGCCCTCTGCAACAAGCGATTCAATACTAGTTCCGCCGGACTTTCACCCTCTTTGACGGGTGTTTCCACATTATCCCTCCTTGTAGGAACAACTCTTGGGGCAATTAAATCCTGAAGAAGTGTGTCCTCATCAACTGGCTCCGCCGGATTGGAGCTCGAGCTCTCGCCAACATCATCCCTTGTTGGCCTAGGGCCAACTTCCCTGGGTCCCTCACGCCGTGACATCGTTCTATAAAACAAATAAAACGATTCAATAACGATAACACTAAGGTCTAACCGTGAGCAACTCAATATAAAAGGATGTTATACTAACACTTAGCATGCAAGACTATGCAATGAACACATTAATATAAGCATATAAGCACATAAGCACGTAAGCATGTAAACAAGTAAACAGTTAAGCATGCTTTTGCACATAGCAAAACACTTTAACAATTAATCACATAAACTATGCAAATGACTTCCCATGAAACCTGTAATACCCCTAATTTTTAAAAGGATATTTCTGGTATTTTATTTTTGATTTAATTATTTTTTTTGATTAATTGTTTTCTTTGTTTGTGGTGTTAATTATTTAATTGCGGGTATTTTGTTTAATTGTTAATTATTTTGTAAATTGTTAATTATTTAAATTATTTTAATTATTTAATTGGTTGTTAATGGTTGTTTTTATTTCTTTATTTAAGTCATTGTTATTATAAATTTACGTAAGTTCATGTAGCCGGCACTGTTAAACCTAGGTTGTTCAATGGGCCGAGTTGTATAAGGATTAGGGTTTAGAATTTAAAAGTCTATATATATGCATATTCTACGTTGGTTTAGGGTTAGAAACACAATCCTAGTTCTCATAGTCACACTGTGAAACAAAGAGAACATACATAGAGTAATAGTTGTGGTTTTGGGAGAAGCAGAGAGGAGAACTTGAGAGAGTTACAGAGAGGAAGGAAGTTGGGGTTGTGGGTTTCAACTGAGACTAAACCTAGAGTGACGAAGGTGGAACAACGGTCGGAGACCTCGTCGGAAAATTCAGAATACGGCAGTTTAGAGTTTCAAATCTGAAATTCAAAGGCAAGTCACTATTCTTCTCCTTCCTTTTAATTCGTGTTTTGTGCATTCCTAGTAGACTCCAGGGATTTACCAAGCATTAAAACATATTAGATTGAAGGTAATATTAAACTTGAAATCATGTTTGTATCAGTGGTTTAAACGTTGCATAAATCTGTGTTGATAGGAGGTTGCTCTGTAAATTGTTCCTCTTATTGTTACGTATAAGCTTTGTTTAATAGGGATTAATAATGGATTGGATGTCTGGTAACTAATCTAAAACTGAGTTTGAACCCTAGAACAAGTTCTTAGATCAATTTTTTATTTCACTAAATTAATTTGTAAAAATCTGTTGTAAGTTGCTTGAATTTTCTAACGGAGGTTCTGTGACCGTGGCTTAAGAACTTGTGTTCTTCACATGTTGGAATTGGTTTTCAATGATTTAAGTTTGTCTAAAACTAAGATTGAACCTAGAATGAAGATTAAAAACATTGCAGAGGCTTTGCGTTTCGCCTGAGACAGAGAAGTTGATTAGTTTTCGCGCAAACGGAGCACAGGGGAGTAGAGCCGGCTCACCACAAGGGTGGAACCGCCTCTACAAGGGGTAGAGCCGGCTCCACTTGTGGTGGAGGCGGCTCCACTTGTGGTGGAGGCAGCTCCACCAAGGGGGGAGGCGGCTCCACTTTTAGTGGAGGCGGCTCCTCTTTTGTATTTTTGATTTTTTCCACGTTCTGGGTTGTTTTTGGCCGGTAGGAAGATTTCTGTGTGGTTCTAAGGACTGTGGATGATTTATAAAACTATTCTAGAGATGTAAAAGATTGGGAAGCATGTAAGTATTAATTTTTAAAGCATGAAGTAACCTACAGTTAATTAATACACTGCATGTGGAAGGTTGTAGTATATTTTGTTATTGCTTACAGTTTCCATCAAGTAACTTGGTTCCTTAGCATGATTGTAAACTGTTATTTGTGTCTCAACTGGCTATAAGCATCTATTATATATTCTGGGAAGTAATGTAGGTACGCTTAAGTGGAAATTAATTGAAGTATAATTATACCGTAATTTTCATCAATTATTGTATTGTTTTGGAGGAGTTATATGTGTAGTCCTTCTTTATAAACTTGGAGGACCGGAATAGGATTTCTATATCTTATATTGACTGTATAATTGAATCATACACATATTAGATTGGTTGTATGTTGGTTCTGGAGTATAGTTAATAAGTGGTTATTATGCTATTTTGTTAACTGTGTTGGATGGAGGACTGTGTGCACCGGTATGGAACGATGGCATACTAGGTATGAACTAAATCGAACATGTTGTTCTACCTAATCTGGATTTAGTGGTGGATTAACCAAAACAAGAGGTTAAGTCCATCTCATAATTGTGTCATATCATTAAAACGATTGAATGATCTGTGGTGGTTTTAGGATGGATTGGTTATACATACATCAAACCACAATACAGATGGTTGATATTTTGTATTAGGAGTACAAGGATTTTATATATATATTATATGATGCCATGGTATGAGTTTGAATCTCAGGACCATGGTTAGGGCGCGTATATCGCCTAGGATGGATAACTGGACATAGGTGTTGTTCCCTGGTAGGTCTAGGTATACATGACCACATTATTGTGCGATTTACATGGTATCTCTACTCAGGCTGAGACAGACCTACTGGACTAGTGAGCGTCCTATAGTATGTATTATATATATACATATGGACTACTCTAGATATTGTTGAGTCTTCCTAGGATGTATCTGCGTATCGGATTATTGGTTGGATCGTAGTAGAATAGGACTTGCATGTGGGCCTGACCCACTCTCTTATTTTTTCAGGTGTTCGTCAGTTCCAGGGTTAGAGCTTGGACGTGCAGAGCAGATACAGACATTCATTCTTCCGACTACGTAGGAATCTTTGCTATGTTTACCTTAAGTTTCTATTTCAGTTATTTTAGTTTCTTTTGGGATTTTAATAAGGGGTCCACTAAATGGATTCCCGAGTTATAACTTATGGAGTTTTAGAGTTTGGATTTAATAGTTTTCATTAATGTTATTTTGAGGATTTCAATTAGTATTCTTCCAACTTATTGTTATTATTTATTTCATCTTGTATTCTATGTTCGGTTATATATTAATTGACTGATATTTCCCTCGAGTTTGGGCCTGGGCCTGATCAACCCGTGTCTCCGATCCAAGGGGTATCACACAACCCCTATGTAGGCCTCTACCCGTCGTCCTAATGGTTTTCGAACTAAGGCTCTGATACCAAATTTTGTAACGACCCTAAACTGATACCATTAAAAAAAGAAAATTTCGACATGACCTCCGCTAAAAATCATCATACAACAACCTGTTTAAAAGCATTTTTTAACCTGTCCCAACACAATAAACATATAATACATTCCATGGTGGTACAACCACATACTATATCATCCAGGTATCATAATTACAGTCCCAAAATACAAGATTAATATCGAATGTCCATGTTTTACAACGTTTAGACAGCTCATACAAAAGTTACAGCCCATAGGTATAATTAAAATATTAAAAGTCCATAAGTCGTACTACAAAATACATTATGCTTAGTATTACAAAAATTAAGTGACCCAAGTACAAAAATAACGAAATAAGCTCTTAATCCATACTAAGTCTGTGGTAAAATGTCATCTGCTACTTCTTTCCCGTTTCCTGTAAAAAATGTTAAGTAAAAGAGGTGAGCAAAATTGCTCAGTAGGTGGTGCCTAAGACACACCTTTTGTATCCCCGTGAATCCAAACAAGGAATAAGACAATAGGAATTTAGGGTCATGCAAAGCCGGGAAAACACAATATCAATTCTAAGTTCAAAGCAAATAAATCTCGTGCCATGAATGCAATATTATGCATGTCACTCCCCATTTTCAGAAAAATATCATCATTTCACAAATTGTTAATATAACCCGCCATTTGGTGACTCCGCAGCGACACGAGAAAAGGATTGGCTACTGTCCCTACCCTTTGGTACCTCTACAGCGTCATTTGGGGCCCAGATAGCTCAACCATGCTTGGGCAATCTCCTTAGTTCCCTCTAGGCTATATTAACACACCGGCCCTCTGGTGACTCCGCGGCGACTGGGTTTTTCTCAAAAACCGTTTCATCAAATTCTCCCCAAAATCCCCTTTTTCATCTTTTTCAAATCATTTCACCCTTTTCATACCCCATACTTTGAATGCATGCTTTGAATGCATGTTACATGCCTTTTTAATACCATAAAAATTTGGGAAAAATTAATGTTACACAACTAGCATGCTTCCTCATAACAATTTTTAACAATTTAATGAACACAACAAGCATAGAAAATCAACAAGGGAAAATTAATGTTACACAATTAGCATGCTTCCTCATAACAATTTTTAACAATTTAATGAACACAACAAGCATAGAAGATCAACAATTAGGCATACTTTCCATGTAGAACAACAAATACGCATAATAGCATGCTTCACATACACAATTAAAATCATTTAAGAGATTATCAGTTCAATTCTAGCATGATTGACAACAATTAAAGTAGGGAAACTCACAAAGGAACAAGATTTGAGTATTAGAGACCCCTTCCTCTAAAGCAATGAAAAACCTCAAATTGATGCCCTAGATTTTGAAAATTAAGGAGTGCACTAAACTAGAAATTGCTCCTATCAACTTGTTGGCCTCGCCGTGAGCTTCAATTTGCCGCAAACGGCACTTCAAAATACCAAGAATTGAAGAATTAATCAAGGGTTAAAGTTGCAAATGAAAAAGAAAAAAAATAAAGCAGGGAAAGAGAAAGAGGACGCTGCAGAGAGAAGAGAAACATAAAATGGGTCTGTAATCCCATTTGCAACATGATAACTTAAAGTAAAGTGGGTCCCACCCATTTTTTTTTTCTTTTCTTTTCTCTTTTTCTTTTGCTTTTAAATTACACCTCACACACAAATATATATATATATATATATATATATATATGAAAAACTTAAACATTACAGGCTTGTTCTCCTTTGGTGCTTTGGTTTTATTGTGTTTTTAGTTATTGGTGGTGTTTTGTTTCCGACACTGCTTTCCTTGCTCATGGTTCGCCGGTGATTGGTCAAGTCCCTTGGTCCTCCTCAGTTTTCTCGGCTTCTCAAGTGGTGTCTGCTGTTGGCTTCTGGGTCACACATGGTATGTGTTTTGTGTTAGGGCTGTATCGGGTCTCTACGTATACTCTCAATCCTTCTTACGTGTCCCTGCTACAGCCTTTTTTGCTTTGTATGGTCAGGGCTGTGCAGATCTCTCTGTCTCTTTTTGTATCACTGGTTAGGTGATTGTGACTTTTGCTTTAATTGTCTTTTGTGGTTCTGTTTATTGTAGATGCCGTAGAGCTTCTTGTCTTTACCAATGAAAAAAAAAAAAAATTCAATAGATATACTCACTATTTTTTTTCAATAATAAACAGGGCAATAACTAGTCATCATTGTCTAAATTACTACATTGTGAGTATGGGTTACCCAATATTTCTCCCATTGTACAGGATGTCCATTTTTTGTTATTAAAGTTTGTTGCTTAGGACCCATGGAGTTGAACGTGAAGCCTGGTATTATCAAACCCAGCAAACAGAGTTCGTATCTCAATGAAACAGTTTTTATGTTTCCTCATTTTATGGACACGAAGTTAAATCAGAGTTTGGATTGCTCAAGGCATGAATAATGAAGGATGCATGTGTGTTGGTTTCCCTTACTGCAACTTAAAATGAGCTTGGAGACATGGCCTTCTTGGCATGAAACTAAAGTAACGACTCTTTTCATTAAGGTTGGGATATGTTACAAGATTTCTTGTATCATATATGCATTTTTATAGATAGGTGAGGCTTGAAATAAGGCTAATTTGTGTCAGAGGGGAGGGGTTCCAGGCTTCTATTCGTGGACAAAAAATGTATTAAGAGTGTTTTTTTGTCGATGTAAAAATAATAACAATAATAAGTCCAATCCTTTTGGGCCCAGAGCATCCCAAGAATGTTCACAGCCCAACAGTTCGGGCTTGTGAAGCATTATGTCACTAACAGGACATTCAAAGAATAGATGGCTCGTATCCTTAGTTTTTTTCTCCTGCAGAGAAGGCAATTGATAAGTATTGTTCAAGATACCAACTTTCACAAGCCCATTCTGAGTGTCTCTGTCTGACTGCCATCCATAAGATGGGAGCATCTGGATTTCTGACCTTTAAAACATGCCAGGATAGTGTCCCCTTTACACCTTGTACAAATTCCTCATAGAAGAAATGGTGAAGCTGCAACCGTTCGTGAATCAAATAATGGGCCCTTTTCAACACATATCTTCTTACATGCTTAGTGAAAGAAAATATAGTGTTGGTATGCAGATTTGGCCCGACGCCAACTTTGAGAAGAGGGGCTGTGGATGGCATTTTATCACTTTAAAATAATGAATAAGTGAATGTCATGCTAAAAAATATTAACTTGTACTCTTTTAATTGATACAAAAATGATACCTACCCAAAAAAATGATACACCAATCTCTCTCGACAAATCAAACTGTAGCCTTTTGCACAATTTATCAAGAACTCCATATGTTACTCTTGCTAAAACACTTTGAGAAGTGGTCTGAAACTCACTGATATGTTTCAGTTGTAACAAACCAAAAGGAAAAATAATAATAATAAAAATATATAAAAATTGGAAAAGAGAAGAAAACTATCTTAGGCAGTAGGCACCACTGTTTCTAATAGGAAAGTTACCATTGCTTTTCAGAGAGCTGCTTTATTTTTTTTTCCCTACTTTCATAAAGATTCTTCTGTTCCTTCATTCCTATGTTCACTTACCAGTTACCACCAGCAGCCTCAAGCTCAATTCTTCATCTTCCAAAGCCTTATAACAACTACAAAATAAAAGGAATAAGTAAATTAAGTATACTGCATATCACGCCTCAGCTGCAATTAATTTAATTAAACAAAAAGAAATAGGAAAACTGAAAAAATTATCATAAAAAATAACCAACCTTTTAACCATCTAATGGTCTAAATGTACCAAGTCTCAAATTACCAACCATTTAGGTTTAGAACGATTTAAATTTCTTAGGTTTCAAATAAATGATCCTTCAGGCGTGGAGCAGTGTAAATTTCCAAGGTTTCAGGTACCCAACCTTTCAGGCTTTAAATATTCTAAATTGACTAGTCTCCGATAACCAGCCTTAATTTAGGCATCAAATAGTCTAACTTTTTGGTTTCAGATAATTGTCTGAATAGGTTACAAATACTCACTCTCAATCAGAATAACCAGTTAAATAGACTTTGGATATTCTAACACTCAATTTCAGACAAGCACTTGCATGGACTATAAATAGTTCAAACTTTTGATTATATTAACCGCGTGAATAGGCTTCAAATAGTTTTAACTCTAGGTTTATGATTGACTCTCATTTTTACCATAACAGACCTTCACCCTCGGATAAGTAGGGTGAAGGTTAAAAGTCAAACATGACAACACTGGCATACAAAACAGAGCATCAAGAAAATCAACATGCTCCTATGACATGCTAATTTGGAAAATCCTCCGGAGGCTTTTAGTTTGGTTGTTGACATGTAAATGACAATTCCTAGTTTCTTATTTGAGTGCCAATTTTGATACTAATTGCTGAGAGCACTAAGAAGTGGTTTTTGTTGAATGTTTTATGACCTCCTCCAACCTCAAACTGAAACTGATATACAGAGAGAAAAAATAATTAGCAAGCAATCGAGAAAAAATCACTCATGCGAAAATCAAACATTTAACTCAACTAAAGAGACCACCATATGCAAGAGAGAGAGCATCATACAGCTTGCTAGAAATATTATCCCCATCCAAGCCAATATTAGAAATAAATCCATACCAATGCATTGTATCACCATGATAATAGATCTAATCTTAGCAGCGCTGAATGGGCATGTTTGGCAGATTTTGTATTGTTTCCAATGGGCAACCTAACACATCAAATACCTCCAAAGAGCCCAAATCCTTAAGGCCCTCAATGTGATATAAGTTCTCACAGCCATGCAAATCCACACATCTCAAAAATTCCAGTTCGGCAAGTCCTTGGATCCTCATGAGTCCTCGACAATTAGTAATGCATAATGCTATCAACTTACTTAGGTTTGACATATCTCCAAGGTTAGCTAACATGTCACATGCATTTATGTTCAAATTTGTCAATGACTCTAATCTTCCAAGCCCTTGAACCTTTGTCAGACTCTCACAATTATGAAGCAGCAATTTTGATAAAGATTTCAAATATGACAGATACGGTAATCTTTCCAATGAATCACAATATGCCAGAGATAGATCCACTAGACTTGAGGGTAACCCCACTATATATTGAAGATCATCACAAAATTGTACATTGAGCAACTTCAGATGAGAAAGGACACCAATCTCTTTTGGTAGGATTCTAATATTGGTAGAATCCAAGGTCAATTTCTCCAATTTGGATAAGTTGCCAATATCTCTAGGAATCTCCGCATACTCACAGCCCCCAACAAAGTGCAACTCCTGTAAATTAACCAGATTTGTAAGATTAGGGATGGAAGCAACATGCAGAACCCTTAAAGATGAGGGAAGCTCTGGCAGTGATTGAAGATATGTGCAGCCCCCTAAGTTAAGGGTTTGAAGGCAACAAAGGTTGCGCAAGCTTCTTGGTAGGCTTTGAATTTTGGTATCACAAAAGCTCAAGAATCTAAGAGATGATAGTTTCCCCATATAACTAGGAATGTCCCCCCTCAAATTACCAGATTTTGTGAAGTCCATCACCTCCAGCTTCTCTAACATCCAAATTTCAGCAGGTAAAGTCCTTATATCAGCATATGAAATGTCTAGAACTTTTAGATTCTTCATACTGCCAATGGATAGGTGTATTTCCATTAAACTTTCACAGCTTCGAAGAATCAATCTCTCTAAAATTTCATATGATGAAAAGTCTAGAGTTCTCCTTAAACCACAATTTGCCAGTTGTAGAACTTTCAATTTTTTTGCCACCTGTTAAAAACATAGATAATGATGATGATGACAGAAAATATTAATTTCAAACAAGTCTGTGATATGACACACACAAACACGCGCGCACACCAAAAAAAAAAAAGCAGATATTTTACAAGACCTTGAAATGACTCCAACCACCCCAATCTTCTGTGATGCAACTATTTGAGAGATCAAGAATGACTAGATTCTCCAAACAAAAATTGGTTAGTTGAAAATATGGAGAGCAACCACGCCAATTAAGCCATCTTAAGTGAAACAAAACATCTTCAAAATCCCCAGCAAGGTCTGTACCATCCACTTGGAGATACCATAGATATTTTAGTTTCTTGAATTCCTTCCTTGTAAAGCAATGCCTGTTTGTAGATTCTAATTCAAAGCAAAGACTGAGGGCCTCAACCCTTTCTGTTCCCTGCAAAAAGGAAAATTTAAGTAAACAGCATATTAAAATAAGATTTCACAACCTACAACACTAGATTAAATAAGAGTATAAAATTCAGTGTGCTCAGATCTTACCATCCGTCTCTTCAATACGCTTAGGGCTTCCTCATGATCCCATAACCTACTACGCTTTCCTGGAATCCTTTCTTCACAAACAATAATCCTCCCAAGAGCACTTAGCTGATAATGCATCCTCAGCTCATTAGCATCTCCCACTTTTACAAGAGGAGACTAAGAACATTAAATTCTATCTTTGGATGATAGCCACAATCACCCCACACGTAAAATACAGTTGCCTTATCTGTCCCATCAAAAAGACATGAAATATCAAGAAAAATCTGTTTTTGGTCATTATTTAATGCTTCATAACTCTCTCTGAACCTTTTCTCGACTTTGTCGTGCAGCTTTTTCTTCAACTTTTTCAATATATCTTGCCATATGGCAGGATCCTTGTCAGACAAAAATGAACCTGTATGTTCAAGAGCTAGAGGAAGCCCTGCAGCAGTGGATGCAACCTCTTCAGAAATACTATCACACTCTTCTGGAAGGAGCTTCCTTCCAAAGGCATGTCTGCTGAAGAGTTCAAGAGATGGCAGAGGATTCATAAAAGGGGGTTCATAAGTTTCATCAACTTTAATAACATTTAAAACATGTTTGTCTCTAGTTGTAACTATGATCCTACTTCCTTCACCATACCAATCTCGCTTTCCTACAAGCAAATCAAATTGCAAACTTTCATTCACATTGTCAAGAGCAATGAGAACTTTCTTTGCGCAATATCTGCAATCAATCATGCGTATTCCACTGTCAACATCAGCAATGTCAAGGGGACAGTTTAGGGTGTCGGTGAAAAACATTTTTTGTAAATGGACAAGTCCATTCTGTTGCACCGTTTCTCGGATATTTGCAAGGAAGCTATGACAGTCAAAGTGCTTGAAGAGCTTGTTATAGACAAACTTGGCAATAGTTGTCTTGCCAATGCCAACCATGCCATGGATACTGTTGAACATATGGCTCAATTTGAGGCTTGCATCACCCATGATGTCATCAAGATTCTTGGCCTCCAAGAATGTGTGCCTAACAAGTCTTTTGAGTGGTCACTAAATAGCCTTGGCCTCCAAGAATGTGTGCCTAACAAGTCTTTTGAGTGGTCACCAAATAGCCTTGGCCTCCAAGAATGTGTGCCCAACAAGTCTTTTGAGTGGTCACCAAGTAGCCTCATTTTGGTGTCCCATTTTAGCTATAAATAGCCTTTGCCCTCCATAGTTTGAAGCATCCGAGAGGCATCCAAGAGTAAGACAATATTCGGATCAAGAGAGTATATTGGTTTTGTGTGTGTGAGAAAATCCTTTTGTGTGTGCAATCTTCAAGTGACACTTGAAGCTTGTCTTTGGGTGGGTTTTTCTCTTTGTTTAAACCATATACTATTTGGGGTATTTCTTGAGTGTTGAGTGAATCTTCTTTGTTGGTGAGTGAGTGGTGTGAGAAGAGAGATTATTATGAGGAAGAACCAAAACGTTCTTCAGTTTGTAATCTTCTTCTTTATAGTGATACGAATCATCATCGCCCATGGATGTAACCCTATTTGTGAGGGTGAACCACGTATAAATCCTTGTCCCTTTTGTGTGTGCCTATTCATTATTCTTGTTATTATTTTTCTCTTGTTCTCATAAACTCCTATTCGATCCTTATTTCATAACAAACTGGTATCAGAGCTTTTTGGGGAGTTTTTGAGAGGTCGACAAAATACGAGATTGAGAAATTTGATGGCAAGATTAGTTTTAATCTTTGGCGCATTAAGATGCAGACCCTGCTCACTCAGTAAGGTATTGGCAAAGAAAAAGATAAAAAGAGGAGTTACGATCCTAGTTCTCAAAAGGGTTGTGAGGGGACCACACAACATGGTGGGAGAATGAAATCCGTTTGCAGATGGCAACCAAAATTGCAGCAGTCCTTACAGGGAGGCAAACCCATGAGGATAGGTGTGATATTGACTTGCAATAATCTTGGTGGCAATGAGATAGTCCATTCGAGTGTCATTAAGATGCGTGGGAGGCAAGTAGTTGGTCACAACAGAGATGCGAGGAAAAGTCAAGGACATCCTATTCTCCACAAGGGTGAGAAGATGACTTTTCATTACCAGCCCGTGGTTTGTGGGCGGTTGGAGAAGGTTGCTGAAGGAGATGTCAAATTTGGAATTTCTGAGGTTGCTTTTGGTAAGCATTTAGAGTTTGACACAAATACTGAAGGTATGCTTGTGGCTGCGCAAGACATGCATGGGTTGAAGAATGAGAGCCCGGGGGTTAAGTTTGAGGATGACTCAAATTTAATTAAAATTCTTTATTAATTTGTTTTTTGTTGGAGATGATGATGGCGTTATTTTTATTACTCACATTGTGTTGAAGAAAGACTCTTTATGATGTTGTCATATCATTTCTGCTAAAGCGGAGAAATTTTGCCAAGGATGGAGTTTTGTGGCTCATTCGAAATTTTTGCCAAGGTGAAGAATTTTCGCCAAGGTGGAGATTTGTTGAACATGTGGCTCAATTTGAGGCTTGCATCACCCATGATGTCATCAAGATTCTTGGCCTTCAAGAATGGGTGCCTAACAAGTCTTTTGAGTGGTCACCAAGTAGCCTTGGCCTCCAAGAATGTGTGCCCAATAAGTCTTTTGAGTGGTCACCAAGTAGCCTCATTTTGGTGTCCCATATTGGCTATAACTAGCCTTTGCCCTCCATAGTTTGAAGCATCCGAGAGGCATCCAAGAGTAAGACAATATTCAAATCAAGAGAGTATATTGGTTTTGTATGTGTGAGAAAATCCTTTTGTGTGTGCAATCTTCAAGTGACACTTGAAGTTTGTCTTTGGGTGGATTTTTCTCTTTGTTTAAACCATATACTATTTGGGGCATTTCTTGAGTGTTGAGTGAGTCTTCTTTGTTGGTGAGTGAGTGGTGTGAGAAGAGAGATTATTGTGAGGAAGAACCAAAACGTTCTTCAGTTTGTAATCTTCTTCTTTATAGTGATACGAATCATCATCGCCCGTGGATGTAACCCTATTTGTGAGAGTAAACCACGTATAAATCCTTGTCCCTTTTGTGTGTGCCTATTCATTTTTCTTGTTATTATTTTTCTCTTGTTCTCATAATCTCCTATTCGATCCTTATTTCATAACAGATACCAACAATTCGTACATCATTTGAACCAATTTTTAATAATCTCATCATTTCATGTTCGTGGTGATCCATCCCAACCACGTTATCAGGTTCAATCATGCAGCGATTGCTCAACTCAAACAACATTCTTGGAATAATTATGTCTTTTATTAGTTTTCCTTGATGCCTGATTGATGCCAAGGGACAAATAATTAGTGTTTACAAGCCAATTAAAGTAATCAATAACGGAAAAGAATCCTGAGTTTTATATGTATATATGTGTATTGAACTAATTAAGTTAATTTATAAAAATAAAAAAAAATTAAAAAAAAAAATTAAAAAATATGAACTAAAAAACTGATATTGAGTAATTCTGTCATTCATTGTATGAAGGTAAGATTGGCACAGATACTCTTATTTGAGTAATTATGAGGAGCAGCTAGCTGTGAAATCTCTCCTAAATGACTCCTAATTCCAATTGTCATAATTTTTTGAATTCCAACGCTAGATAAGAGGATATAGGGTTAATTAGCAGGAATGAGTATATTAGGATGGAATTAGCATACCCGTCAGGTTGTTTCTCCACGTCCATACCCTTCAAACCTGCAACAACTCTGAGTGCCTCCTTCCATTGCTCAATAGTTTCGTCATCCAAACTCTCAGATTCCTGGAGCTCGCGTAAGGCCTTGGCGTAAATTCCATCTTTATCCTTCAGATCCGAGGGTTGGACATCGTAGAACCATTTACTGGACGCATAGTTTTTGGAGAATATTGGGATTGAGATCTTTGACTTTCTAATTGATTTGAGCAGCTTTGGGCCGATCTTCTCTCCTATGTGAAGCTTGTTACTGTCACGAAAGGTGCGAACTCCGTTGTTTTCTAGATAGATGTATAGAAAATCTGTGAAGTTGAGACGAGTGTCAAAGCCTCTGAAATTCAAAAACACTTGGTATTCGTCTTCTTGAGATAGATGATGAGTGGTTGTGGTGATAGTAGAAAAGACACCATATTCATTTGGATCACCTTCAATTTTCATTCTCTCCCTCTATGCCTGCGCTTTAAAAGTAGGACTTGGGGCGACAGATCTTCCCTTCGCATCTCTATTCAAGTTAACTTCCCCTTGATGAAACATAAGTAAAGTCAACCGGAACAGGACAATTTCTCCTCCAACTAGCGCCTGCACGCTGCTTTGGTGTACTCTCCTTTTTTCTTTTTCTTTTTTTACCATACTCTCCCTCTTTTGGGAACGTGTTATTTTTGGGACAGACGAGAATATTTCTGGGAACAGAGACAGTATCTGCATTTCTTAAACAAAGGAAGTATTATATTTTTTAATAATGATAAAGAGTCCACAACCAATATTTTTGGGACAGACTGAATATTCTACATTCTACATCTTTTTGAGAACAGAGAGACTAATCTGTATTGTTTTTGGAATTCTTTTTTAATAATGACAAGGAGTCCACAGCCAAATAAATTTTCGTGGATAGGGATGATGTGAACCTCTTCTTCTGTTTTTTTTTTTTTTTCTTTTTTTTTTTTTTTTTTAAAGCGAATTGCATATATAAAAGGGAAAAAAATACTTAGAAGGCCTTCGGCTGAAACAGCCTTTCACAGGCAAACATGCCCAAAGGCAACCCAGCCCTAAGATCCCCGAGCAACCCAAAGCAAAAGCCCAACCCAAGAGCAATAATCAAATAGCAGATGGAACCGTTAGTTGAAGAACTTAAATCAAATCCGGTTAGCAAACCCTGCGGCGACAGGGGAGAAACCTTCCACCCCTTAGTTCGGAGGACGGAGAGGAGGTTTGCAACAAGATGGGGAGAGATTCCAACTACTCAGAATCGATCTAGAGGCCATGCAATCCCTTAGACAGCCCAGTCGAAGCAAGGATCTGATTGAGGGGATGATGTGATGACATCATTATGTTTATCCATCACTTTTGTATTCATCATTTCTTTGTATGGCAGGCCTGCACTCTTTTTCAGTAATCTGGTTTGCATGGTAGGCCCTGCACTCCTATCTTTTATTGTAATTATTTTCTACATTTTTCACGGCTTCTTTTTTAGTTCTTCATTTTCTTCTCTCCTAATTTCAACTACAAATATCCAATAGAGTACTGCTACCAAGAGAGCCACAAGAGTTGGAGGCTCTCTTTATTTAATCACGGGATTGAGATTTGAGACAGATTCTTGGGCATCATAGAAGCAAGAACACCTTGCGTCCTCTCTTTAACAGCCATCCGACAGCCTACAAACAGCACTTTGCCAATGCATGCATCGAATGAGAAGCAACAAGACATAGCAAAACACAGACAAAAGCTCTGCTAGTGGATTATACACATTCACAACTCACAAGCCATCTTCCCAAATTTGATAATTCAGTAATAAGCCACTACATTGTCAAAAATAACTAATACAAACGAACGTCACAAGAGAATGGAATTCCTGAAGGACCTCCTATTACTACTTCTTTCAGCTAGATTTGCATACTCTTTGGTACATAGATTGCTTACTCTTATGAAGACATAAAGCCCAGGTGAAAAACAGAAGAGCTAAACTATATAAAAGGTCATATGGAGGCTATATCTTAAACCTATAACTCATACAAGCCAAATGACATCATGTTTTGCTCTTAAACTTCCTTTGGGCTGTCAAGTCCACCACAATCACAGTGATGTTGTCCTTGCTTCCCTTCTGAAGAGCACGGTTTGAGAGGCACTCTGCTGCTGCCTGAGCTGCAGGATCAATCCCTTCACCCCTTTTTAAGGGAAGTGTAGCATCATTCTTTTTATGCCAAAGAAGTATCCATTTCGGAGCAATATCACAAACTTCCTCATTCGTCATGACATCCCATAAACCATCGCTGGCCAGAATGAGGCATTCATCGTCTTTTGTTCGAGGAATAAACATCACTTCTGGATCTGGAATGATCCATGGTTTCAAATATCTGTCACCTGCACCCCACATACAAGATCGGTTTTTGAAATTTGAAAGAAAGCTAAACAAGTGCATGCAGAAATGGGGATGGGACGCAATTACAAATTAACACAGTTTTTTTACCCTAATTGACATTGTTCATAATGGTACATCTTGTTAGAACCTACGTACTAACATGGCGATAAAATGTCTTCAGATACAGTATACGTCCGTGGTAAAATAATAATGGAGAGTATCATTAAGCAAAACTACTCTTATATTCAAATTAGGTGGGAAAGATAGTCAAATAATAAAATTATTATGATGAACACATACCAATGGACCTTGACATTGCAAGAACGCCAAAAACTCGGGGCCCATTCCAATGTATGATCTTTCCTCCAGCTGCTTCAATCCTTGCACATTCATCTCCTCGATCCGGCTAAAAACAAGTCCAATGAAAAGATAAAGAACTATAAGTTCATAATGATCTCTCGTGAACTATACAAAGGTGTCAGAATACAAGTATAGGTCTCATACTTTGTGATCTACAGACAATGCCACAGGCTCTTTCCCACGACACAGGACTGCTCTTGAATTACCACAATTTGCCACTATGATATGAGATGAACAAACGATAGCTACAACAGCAGTAGAACCAACAGTTTCAGGAGCAACAGGTCCAATATCATCTTGTCCTCCGACCTCAGTATCAACCTTGAGAAAACAGTTGGTGAATGCTGTTCTCCACTGCTCTTGGCAATTACCCTTAATATTTCCATCATTGGAGCTGGCCATAACATTTTCCAACTCCTCAGTCAAAGCAAAATGAACTCGATCACAACAACAGCTTGCAACCTAAAAGAAGAAAATTAAACCCAGAGACTAAAATTACTTGAGCAAATGCACAATCTAATAATTAATAATTTGAAAAACCATGCGCAATCTGGAGAGAGAGAGGTTACCTGAGAGCCTCCGTAGCCATCATAGACTCCAAAGAAATGAGCTGACAAATGACTTGAAAACCAGCTCATGCCATCAACTAGCCGGTCACTGATAAGCATTTGAATTGGAATTTTCCAAAATTGAGGTACAGTTGCAACTGCATCTTCCATCTCTGGTCTCCTTCCACACATAGATGTAAATCCCCAAAGCGGCACACAATCCACCTCAAAAACACTCTGGTCAAATGATGCACTCATCTGTTTGTCCAAGGGCAACTGAGGCGCAACTGCAGGTGATTTTGAATTAGATCCATCTGAAATCTTTAAGTAGGCTTCAATCGATCTGATTCTTGATTTTGAATAATCGCTTAAATGGACTTGCATAGTCTAACATTCAATTTTAAACCACTACCAAGATGAACTTCAAAAGTATAACATCTGGTTTTTGATAATAACGTAAATAGGCTTTGAAGAGTCTAATTCTAGATTTAGGATTGAACCTCAATTTATCATAACCAACATCCTGTCTCAAACAAATGAGGTAGAGGTCAAAAGTAAAATGATAGAACTGGTATACAAAACAGAGTACCAAGAGCATTAACAAGTTCAGAATGAACCATGCCCATTTAGAGAGATCCTCCGGAGGGCTAACAGTTAGGTTCGTTGACTCGGTGTACAAGACCATTTCACATTTCTTATTAGGAGAAATTTTTTTGATACTACTCGCTATGAGTACTGATAACTGATGTTTTTGTAAATTTAATGAACTTCATGGACCACATTCTGAACTCATATATAGAAACACAAAATATTAACAAACCATTAAGAAAATCCAGAGAGAGAGGGGGGGGACGCGAGAGAAAGAGAGAGAGAAAATGGCATACCATCACAGAACTTGATAGAAATACTATTTCCATCTTAACCAAAATTAAAATAATCCATACCTGGGTGTTGATTTAGTAATGTGCACCCGGACAAGTCCAATGCCACCAAAGATTTCAAAGCCCCAAGGTCTTCAATCCAATGTAAATTCGTGCAACGATGCAAAAACAAATATTTCAATGAAGTTAATTTGCCAAGTCCTTGGATTTTATTGAGTTCTGCACAATCAGAAATAGATACTATTTCTAACTTCTTTAGGTTTGACAGATATGGCTTTTCATCAAGGTCTTCACTCCCACTCATCTCCAAGGATTCTAAACATGAAAACTGTTCAAGCAGATCAAGATTGGCTAGCTTATGGCACGAATATAAGCCCAACTTTCTCAATGATTCTAATTTTCCAATCCCTGGAATCTCTTTTAACTTAATGCAATTTTTAAATGATAATTGCTGCAAATTTGTCAAGTTGGATAGATCCGGCAAAGTTTCCAGTAAAGGACAAAATGTAAGAGATAAATTGACCAGACTTGAAGGTAACGTAGGTAAAAACTGAAGATTGTGACAGAATTGTACATCGAGCCACTTCAGCTGGGGAAGGGCAAAAGTCTCTTGGGGTAGGGTCCTAATGTTGGTAGAATTGAAGAACAATCTCTCCAAACTCCATAATTGCCCAATACTACTAGGGACCTCCACAAACTCAAAGTCCACAATAAGGTGTAACCCCCGTGAATTAACAGAACCGGTATGAACAGGGATACAAGCAACTTCCAAAGTCCTCAGATTCCAGGGAAGCTCTGGCAGCAATTGAAGCCTTTTGCCAACCAATTCAAGGGTTTGGAGGCAAGAGAGCCCCCAAATGCTCGGTGGTAGGCTTTGAAATTTGTTATTATAAAAGTTCAAGAATCTCAAAGATGATAGGCTCCCTATATCACTAGGAATTCCCTCCCGAAGGTAATAGCATGATGACACATCTATCATTTCCAGCTTCTTTAACATCCAAATTTCATCAGGTAACTTCCTTATATCAGCATATGAAATGTCAAGCACTCTTAAATTCTTCAGATTACCAATGGAAGGGTCAATTTCAAGCAAACTTTTGCAGCGTCGAACAATCAATATCTCCAGAGTTGCATATGATGAAAAGTCTGGAGTTCTCCTTAATGCACAATTAGCCAGTTGTAGAACTTTCAACTTATTTGCCACCTGTTAAATATAAAAAAATAGACAAACAGAAAAGTAATAATTTTAAACAAGTATACGATGTGATAGAAGAAATAGAAGTAGAGATAATATAGAAGACCTTTAATTGATTCCAACCCCCCCAATCTTCTGTGATGCCACTGTTTGATAGATCAACAATGACTAGATTCTTCAAATGAAAATTGGTAGGCTTAAACTGCGGAGGGCACCTGTGCCAATTAAGCCATCTTAACTTGGGCAGAAGATGCTCAAAATTCCCAACAATTTCTGCTCCATCCACTCAGAGATATCTTAGATTTTCTAGTTTTGTGAATTCCTTACTCGTAAAGCGAGGCTTCCTTTCAGGCCTTAATTCAAAGTGAAGACTCAGGGCTTCAACCTTTTCTGTTCCCTGCCAATGGAAAAATAATAATAATAAGAAGTAAACAACATATTAGGACCAGATTTCATAGCCTATTATGATTAGTAGAAAGGGTAAAAAATTCAGTGCAATATATTATCATACCCTCCGTCCCTCCAATATGTCCAAGGCTTCCTTGTGATTCCACAATCTACTACGATAGCCTGGATTCTTGAAACTTTCTTGACGAACAATTTCCCTTCCTAGATCTCTAAGTTGATGATGCATCCTCAACAAATTATCATCTCCTATTTTTACCAGAGACATTAGACATAGAACATTTATTTCCTTCTCTGGATTGTAGTCACAACCATCCCACATGTAAGATACATATGTTTTATCCATCCCAACAAAAAAACAAGCAATATCGAGAAATATTTGTTGTTGCTCATAATTTAGTGCTTCATAACTTATGCTCAGTTTTTTTTGGACTTCAAAGTCCGGTATGTTCTTCAACTTTTTCAATGTATCTATCCATAAAACTTTGTCAGATAGAAATGATCCTATAACCTCAAGGGCGAGGGGAATCCCAAAAGTTACAGACACGATCTTTTTAGAGATACTAACATAATCTTCTGGAGGAAAGATAATTCTAAAGGCATGAATGCTGAGAAGTTGAAGAGATTGCACATTATTCAAACGTGAGGGTTTATAAAACCCATCAACACCAAGAGCATTTAAAACATGTTTGTCTCTAGTTGTAACTATGATTCTGCTTCCAGAGCCAAACTGATCATTCTTTCCCAAAAGACTAGCAAGTTGAGAGCTCTCATTCACATCATCAAAAACAATTAGTACTTTCTTGATTCCACTATTGACGTCAGCAATGCCAGGACACAGTTCTAAGGTGTCAACAAGAAGCTGTTTTTGCAAACTATTGTGCTGTTGCACCATTTCTTGAACATCTGCAATGTAATGTCTTGTGTTTTCTTTATATATATATATACATGTAATTATGGTATGTATAGTGGTGAGAATTTAAAAAAAAAAAAAAAAAAGGAAAAAGAAGGTGGGACCCACGCCCCTTTTAAGTGGTTGTAAGACCACATTTGGTCTTAGTTTTCCATCTGCTCCCTCTCTCCCGTCTCTGTTTTCTTCTCTGTTCTTTTTTTTCTTTTTTTTTTCTTCAAGCTTCCATTGTTGATTCCTCTCTCAATACTTACCGGATTTAAGTGCCGTTTGAGGCAAAACAAAGCCTACGACGAGCTCTACGCGCTAGGGTAGGCAATTCCAGATTTGGTGCTTCCTAGGGAGTTCGAAATTAGAGACCCACTTTCAAGGGTTTTGTTCAATTTAGAAGTAGGGGCTCTTAATCCACAATTTTCTTGCTCCTATGTGAATTACATCTTCTAAATTGTTGCAGGACATGCTTATTTGTGCTAGTTGTAGTTTAGAAGTAGTTAGAACATGTGTATGTGGTTATGTGAGAGCTTGTATTAAATGTTTTATGTGGAAAACTTGCCTATGTGATGATTTATATATGTTCGTTAGGCTAGATGTATTGTTATATAAGAGCATGTTGAAATTCCTTGAGAAATTCTTGTGAAATTATGCCTTGCTTACTTAAATTGAGTTGGTTGTGGAATGATGAGTATATTCATGGTACTGATGCACTCATGCACTTACATTGGGCATGAAATGAGAAAAATTGTTTTGGAACGAAAAGGGAAATTTTGGGAAAAGAGTTTTTACGAAATGGTTTTATGAAAACCCGGTCGCCGCGGGGATACCAAAGGGGCGAAGTGTTAATATAGCCTAGAGGGGGGACTAGGGAGTCGCCCTAGCATGGTTGAGCTATCTGGGCCCCTCGATGACGCTGCGGGGTTACCAAAGGTCTAGATACAGTAGCCAATCCTCCTCTCGTGCCGCTGCGGGGTCACCAAAGGGCGGGTTGTATTAACAGTTTGAAAGTGATGGTTTGAAATGTGAAAATGTGGAGCGACATCGGCATGCATTTGCATTCCATGGCATTGTATTGTTTGCACTTGAGTTTGGTTGAAATGTTGTATTATCCCGACATTGTATGATCCCTATTCTTATTGATCTATTCTTCGTATGGATTCACAAGGACACAAGATGCGTGTCTTAAGTGTTACCTATTAAGCTTTATGCTCACCCTATTATTTAATAATTTTTTTCAGGAAACGGAAAAGAAGTGGCCTAATTTGGATTAGAAGACTTCTTTTCGCTATTTTTGTATTAAGTCCCATATTTTTGTAAAATTTTAGTTTGTTATATTTGGTATAGAGGTTTGTGAACTCTTGTTATTATAATTATACCCATGGGCTGTAACTTTTGTATGAGCTATCTAAATGTTGTAAAATATGGACATTAGATATTAATCTTGTATCTTGGGACTGTAATTATGATATTCGGATAATATAGTATGTGGTTGTACCACTATGGAATGAACTAAGTTAAGGCATGGTGAATGGATGAAAGGGATGTTGGAATGTATTATATGTTTATTGTGCTGGAACAGGTTAAAAATGCATTTAAACAGGTTGTCATAAGCCTATCTTTTAGGGGAGGTCATGCCGAATTTTTTTTAAAATTTTGGCATCAGCTAGGGTTGTTACATGCAACAAAGCTATGGCATTCAAAGCATTTGAGGAGCTTGTTGTCGATGTACTTTGCAATAGTTGTCTTGCCAATACCACTCATGCCATGGATACCAACAATTCTTACATCATTAGAGTTAACATCTAATAATCTCATCATTTCATTTTCATGATGATCCATTCCAACCAAGTGGTTGGTTACCTTCTTCTTGTATTTCTTCAACTCTAACAACACTGTTGGAATAATAATCTCTTTTATTAGTTTTCCTTGATACCTGGTCGATGTCCGTGGGGAAAACAACACAAAACAAATTATCAGGGCCGAGCAAGAAATTATAATAGACAAAAGAATTGGAGAAAAAGAACTTGCTCGGGAAAAAGATAATCTTAAAATTTCTTTAGGTATTATTTGTCCCTCTTGTTCCATTTTTTTAATTTGAATTTTCAAAAATTGCCTGAAGCTCCTGGCTTTGGCTATGGCTAATGAGAAGGATTTACTGAATTTCTACATCATAATAACTATGAAATTAACTATTAAAAAAAACTATGAAATTTTACTTATCAAAAAAATAGAAATAATAAGAAGCTAACTACGAAAATTCTGTAAGGGGCTTCTTAGCAGAGGAATGAATTACCCATCAGTTTCTTTCTGCACTTCCCAGCCCTTGAGTGATCCGACCTCTCTCAGTGCCTCCTCCCATTCCTTAACAGGATTTTTATTCGAAAATCTCGTGTATGTGGAAGGCCTCCTCGTAACTCCCAGTTTGATGCCGAACCTCAGACGGTTCAACGTCATAGAAAATGGGCAGAATCAGTTGTGTTGAAGTTCTCTTGCACTCCACCATCTTGGCGAGCTCGCCAAGGCACCATTTACTGGACGCATAGTTTTTGGAGAAAATTGGGATGCAGATCTTTGACTCCGTGATGGCTTTGAGGAAATCTAATCCAATCTCTTCTCCTTTGCGAAACTCGTCATCATCCCGAAAGATTCGAACTCCAAAAGCTTCCAGATCGGTGTAGAGGAAATCGGTGAAGGTTTTACGAGTGTCTGGACCTTTGAAACTCAAATAAACATCGTATTTGAATCCTTCGGCGGATGTGGATGAAGAAGAGTACAGACCACTTTTCTCGGATTCCATCTCAGATTCAGCGACAAGCAGCTCACATCTCTTTCTCTCCAGGTTTGGGCGACCAACCTCCGTGATAGTCAAGTCAAGTCAGTCAACATGGAGGAGAGGACTGAGAGAAGTTTGTAAATAATTCAACGAGGAAGAAGGATGCTAGCACACTCCCATATTCAATCCAAGGGCTTGCAAACCCTCGACTCACCTAAAACTTTTGATTTTAAAATTAATTTTCTTTTGTAAAATTACACTATCTCCGGACTTTATTGTATGCAGAATGCAACAATAATATATAAATTAAATTAAATTGAAATACAACAACAACATAAAGGTATTTTTATTTTTATTAAGTGTAATGATAGTTAACGATTTGTTTACAATAACAATGTCGATTTGTTGAGTAAAATGACGTGGCAGTCCAATGGGTAGAGAAAGTTAATAACGTGATTTGATTTATTCACTTTTACTCTTCATCATCCCCTCCCTAATTCCATAAACCTCGTCCCCAATTTCTCAAACAAAGTTTCTCTCATTATCTTCAATTTTTCTAAGTTTTTTTTTCCTCCAATTCGACGTGATCTGCAACAATTCCAAATATTTTGACGATCTACAATAAGCTTTTGACGATTTGAAACTATTAAGTACTTCTAGTTAATCATATATATATATATATATATATATATATATATATATATATATATATTAATTTCCCTGTATATGTATATGTTGTAATTTTTTTTTTTTTAAGAGTTCATCACCAATGTCAATCCATTGAATAGAGATTGATTCAGACAACTAGGATCAAACAACCCCATATATATATATATATATATATATATATATATATATATATATATATATATCAATCTCCCTATATATGTATATAAATAGTCAAAAGCTTGTTGTAGATAGTCAAAACATTTGGAGTTGTTACAAAAAAACGTGATCTTTGTCTGAGAAATTGGGAATGGCAAAAAGGTTTCTGAAATTAAGGATGGGATGGTGAACAATAAAAGCGAAGAGTATTGTTATTGCAAGCGCGCTATCACGGGCTTAGAGTTTCAGCACCACTCTAGTTGCTCCTGTGCGGCACCAAGACGTCGCTTCTACTCTCGCAAGTACTTGGTCAGCCTAACTCCCGTGCACACCTTAGCCAACACACTCCCCTCGTGCGCTTACTAGTGTTGTAGTGGCCCTCGCCCTCTCCTCACTTGGCTTGCACACTCACACACACTAAGGCACTTAAGCTGGCAAGGAAATAACACTTCTATTACTTCAAAGAATGCTTTGTACAAGGCTAGCACTCAAACTCTCTACAAGGCTCTCAAGACTCACTTTAGGACTTGTTGGCTACAAAATGAAGTTCTACTCCTATTTATAGGCATCCACATCCCTAATGGATAGCTAGGATGCATTCTAACCAATGGTGGAGATCGATTCTCTAGAATCTTCTCCCACCTTATTCACACTTCCATACTTATTTACTAGTATCTACAACATTCTAGAACTCTCCATACTACTCTACACAATTCTGGAGAACTCTATAATATATTACACATATCTAGAATCTTCCACACAACTCTAGACAATTCCGGAAGATTCTAGAAACTCCACTCGCCATGCAGTTGCCATGCAGCGTCCTCCTCAGCGTTTGCGTGTCGCCTGCGTGGCACAACCTCCATAGGCGGGGCGTGACAACGCGCTCGCACTAGCACTAACGAGCTCTCCCATTCTAGCCACACGATTTGTGTGCATTGAGATTCGAACAAAACAAACAAAAAGTAATTCATGCCATAATACTTTTCTCTCTCCTCTCTCTTTTTCTCTCACAATTGCTTTCTCTGTGTGTTTTCTCTCTCCTCTTGTAGACGCCGAAAATTTCCCCTTTTTTAGTAAATCAGTGTTCATTAAATCTCTGGAACACTTCCTTGGAGCAGGAAGATTGTAGTTGAGTCAACTATCGGCCTTCATCGACGTTTTTGCCGGAACTGTATCACAGACCAGAGAATATTGATGGAAAGCCAGTAAGATTGTTTCTGGCATTGTTCCGGTGAAAGGAACTGAAGAACCAATCTGAGTATTATATATATTTTAATATTTGTGTTTGCCTTACATGTTTTGATAAAATCTCTGCAAACTAAAAAAAAAAAATCTCCATATGAGAAAAAATAGAGAGAGATAGAAATCAATAACATATATTATATATATAGATACAGAGTGATACCATATATAGAAGTATAAAATCAAAACAAACCTGTTTGTGATGAGTTGAGGAGGAAAGAAATTGAGATGTCATGCTTCAACAGCCATGAGAGATGTTGTTTCTTGTTTAACTCTTTGTGATTTTGGGTTGCTTTGTTGATAGATGGATAATAATTTGTGTAGAGAGAGAAAAGAGGATGGACAACAAAGAAGAGATGAGCAGAGCATGCAATGAAAGTGGGGGAGTTGTTGTGTTTCCTTTGCTTTATTTAAGATAGATAAGAGTCTAGCGAGAGATAAAAGACAAGTCTTGCACCGCAGCGGCAAAGCTGTAATCGTACTATCCCTAGTTTCCATAAATTCTGGCAAAGCTCGCTGAAACCCAACTGAGGAAATTTGCCGGAATTAACTTCCGGGTAATTTTCCGGCAACGATTCAATTGTCTGGTTCTGATTTTTGAGTACCTTTTTGTTGAATTGAATTTTGCCATCCTTATATTTCTTAAACACTAAATTGGCTTTAGAGATGGAGACAAAAAAAAAAAAAAAAAAAAAAAAAAAAAAAAAAAAAAAAGAAGAAGAAGATTTGCAGGAAATTCTTTTTAAAGAGAGATCTTTCTGTTTTAGAGAGGCGATCGGCGAGGACAAACCTCGGCCACCCCTAAGAACAGCTTTGTGGTGAGCCATTGATTGAATAAGAGAGAGGAAAGAGAATATAAGAGAGAGAAAACAATTGTGAGAGAAAAAGAGAGAGGAGAGAGAAAAGTATTGTGCATTGAATTACTTTTTGTTTGTTTTTGTTCGAATCTCAATGCACATAAATTGTGTGGCTAGAATGGAGAGCTCGTTAGTGCTATTGCGAGCGCGCGCTCGCAATAGCATTACTCAAAAGTGAATAAGTAGATTAGTAAAAAAATCACCTTGAATCACGTTGTCTGCCAATTGGACTGCCACATCATTCTGCCCAACAATTCTGTGCATGGCTACCGCTCGCAATAGCATTACTCAAAAGTGAATAAGTAGATTAGTAAAAAAATCACCTTGAATCACATTCTCTGCCAGTTGGACTGCCACATCATTCTGTCCAACAATTCTGTGCATGGCTACGGTGTAACTATCATTACTCTTTTATTAATTACTCAAGTCTTTTCCAGTTGTAATTCAAGTTACCATATCAGGATCGATAGCGACTACAGAATGGAAAGGTTGTTCAAAGTTACCATAATTGAGATCTTTTGAAAAAGGTAAGAACAACACATTAGGAAGGATTCTAAAAAGGTTAGGACACATTCTACACTTGGTATTTATTTCAAAACTTACCATACGGTGTTTTTCAGCCTTAGTGAACCAAAATTCAAGTTTTGGCCAACTTGAACCGGTTCAGCCGCTCTGAACCGGTTCAGCCCCTCTAAACTTGTTCAAGGTTTCAAGATTGGATTCGAAAACCAATCTGCCAAACTTGAACCGGTTCAGTCCCTCTGAACCGGTTCAAGGAGTCATGTTCACAATACAGTTTTCAGTTTCCTTTTCCTAATTTCGATCCTAGTTGGTTTAAGATTGTACCAAGTCCTATGCACGAATTTTTCCATATTTTCAAAGGGACTAGGACATTCTAAACTCTATATAAATCTTGTCATACACATAGGTTTATTCATGACTTTAGCACTACAACTTCATTATTCATAAAAAGCATTAGGAAGATTTTTGTCTCAGAAATTCTTAGAGAATTTTCTATTTGTCTTTCTAGAACATATACACATAAACACATAGTGAGTTTAGAGTTGTGTTGTTCAAAAATCCTGATCGTGATCATACAATTGCATCTACATCGATCAGAATAAAGCAGATCTACTTCTACATCGAATTTAGACGATTGAAGAATAGAAGTAAAAGTAATCACACTTTGAAAAGGTTAGAGCATTTGAGTAGTGTTGTCTAATCTACCTGCTACTCTTTTACAAATATCAAGCGTAAGCTTGAGGTCAAGTTGTTGTTGGATAGGGAGTCGCAAAGCCAGAGATTGTCAACAATTGGTGTTTGGTAGAACGATAGAGTGTGAACCAAAGTCAAAGTTCAGACGCATGTTATCAACTAGGGTTTCCTCGCTAAAAATCCTAGTGTCATCTCAACTTTACTTTATTTTATATTGCATGATATTAATTTATTAATTGCTAAAATAAAGAAAGTTAAAAAAACACAAGATGTGTTTTTAAAATAATCAAAACTTTTTAAATATTCCGCTACGTACGACTCACATAAATGTGTTGCAGTGTTTTGCTCACAATCAAGGACCACCGTTTAACAAAAGTATTCTAAAATATAATTATGGAAACCACCCATTTTCTGTTACCATGTGGATGGAGAGCCAACGGCTCTATAATTACTAATTAGTTATTCTTATCAAATAGAGAGAAATTTTAAGGACCAAAATGTTATGGGAGTTTGTCCCACTTCGAATTCGGATGGAAAAATAAATTTGGTATAAATGGGTGAGTATGCAGCACTACTCAATAGCCTTTTGAGTAAATGGGCAAGTGTCCATCCGTTTCAGTTGGTGTTAGAACCAGACACAGTTCTTAATCTGATGTCACGCCAAGCACCCAGTTTGGAGGACTTCCGGGTCTTCTTCCTGAGTAGACAGGGTGGCCCGAGCCGCAACGAGGGCGTTATAAGTTCAAATGGGGGAGAATATTACAAGGGGACTTATCCCACATCGGATTCGGATGAGAAAATAATTGGGTATAAATTGGTGGGTATGCAACACTATCCAATAACTTAAATTTTTTGGTAAATGAGCAAGTGCCTACAAATTTC